GGCAGGAGAGATAGGAAAGTTGAGTCGTAGACCGACGAATCGGCAACCGACCTGTTATCAGCGATAACAGACAAGTGATCCTTTCGTAGAATTCAAGCCGAACAATTTGAGCCTTCAGTCGGATGTGAAAACCTGCATCACAGTATAGGTCAAAGAGAACCACTACTATGTTTAACCCAAGTAGAGGATAGTTCCCTAATTCGTACCCTAGCTTCTCTATCAGTCTCATGTTCAGCTTCCCTTACTAACGCCAAGTCACTGAGAAAATTTGGCAGCATCTCCTCTATCCAGGCTGGATTGGTCAAGTCTCTTTTAGCTAAAATATAATCTAACTTCCTAAATCCTGTGAAATTTCGGCAGCGCTTCCCGTAGGAAAAGTGTCTTTCCAGAATTTCTATGAGTCCAAAAATGATTAACTCTTTCAGATTTGTAAAAATTTCGGCAGCGCTTCCTGTAGGAACAGGAGGTTGTCAAAATTTATACAAAGCTGAAACTGAAAAGACAAGGCATAACTATACTTGAGACTAACTTCTGACACTTACTTGGAAGGTAAAATCAACGATAATCTGTACGACCTCTTGATGAGGCTGTGCGATAACACTGATCCTAACTCCTAGTAGAGTCAGTCCTATCTTATCCCAAACTTTCCTTCCCATCATCCATCCCACCTGCCTATAGCTCTAGCACTCAGCGAGCATCTAAAGCAACTAGCCTATCAAAGAGATGGCCCAAGTGTGAGCCCACAAGCAGGCATAACCAAACATCTTTCTCAATCCCACATTAATTTGAGCCAAGTAGTTCGTTAGATCACTCAGTTCTTTCCCTTTTAAGTCCCCCTCTCCTATGGCATATGGTCATACAAGGCCCTAACCCTAGGGTATGCCTGACCTGCCTAGGTACATAAGTAAGGTACGTACATTTGGACTGCCCTAACCCTAGGGTATGTCCAACATAACATGAATTGTACACAAAAGGCATATGACCAGACCGCCCTAACCCTAGGGTACGTCTGGCTTTTGCCTAACTGACGACAAAAAGCATAGAACTGGGCTGCCCTAACCCTAGGGTGTGCCCAACCTGCTTTAAACAAAGTTACATACGACATCATTCTAGACCATCCCTACCCAGGGGTAGGTCTAGCTTGCCTGAACATAAGTACAAACGACAAAAAGTTGGGCCGCCCTAACCCTAGGGTACGTCTAACCCACAACACATCAACGAGAAAGGCATATCACTAGGCCGCCCTAACCCTAGGATACGCCTAGTTAGCCATACAGTTTAAGTTAAATAGGGCAGTGTGATCAGGCTGCCCTGACCCTAGGGTGTGTCTGATCTGCCCGAACAATTATAAACACCGAAACGCTGGACCGCCCTGACCCTCGGGTACGTCCAACTTACATTTAAACGACAAAAGCTTATCGCTAGGCTGCCCTAACCCTAGGGCTAGAGTTAGGCCTAGTTAGCCATACAACATAAAATAGGGTACAAATACTTTCACAGATTTTTAGTTTTTTCTTCTCTTAGTAAGCAGTCGATCGGACCTTTCTAATAAATGAAACTTTCGATCCTGCCTCATGTCTAGAAGGGAAAATAAAACAGATTTATA